TTTTTAAAGTATTTGTTTTTTTCCAAGAGTGATTAGTTTGGAAAGGAGGAGGGTTCAAAAAATAAAAAACCTAGTGCTTAGGTGTTTCATTTTTGAGTAAAGTACATGTCCAGGATATAAACTATCTCCTTGGTTTGAATTATTTCAAAGACAGTACACGTCTTTCCATGTGGGAGCATTTGTTTGTAAGAGCCATGTTTATCCTCATGACTATGATGGACAATAACCTGCACAGATACAAAGTCCTATGGAGGGGTTCTTTTAACTACACTTACTCATGGGAATTCCATGGTACTGAACTCATAAAGAATTCATGTCCCCTGAAGATTTCTTTGCTTCCCCGCAGAAAAAGTATTTCTCGTAGAGACACAAAGGGAAGCTACAAGAGCAATCACATGTCCCTCCCCAGCAGAACTCTCTGAAGTGATGGAATAAACAAACCCTTCACTTGGACCAAGTATCTCAACAGTTGTAATAGTAAGAATGAATACAGCACTTTTCATCAGTACTACTCAAAAAGCTTCACAAAGGAAGTCAGTGTAATTATCCTAATTTTAGAGATGGGGAAATAAACACATGGAGAGATGAAGCAACTTGTCCAAGATCACCCAGAAAGCTAGTAACAGAGCCAGGAATAGAAACCAGATGTCTTAAGTCCCAGTGCAGTAGTCTATCCACTAAACCACACTGTACTCCTGATGAATAGGTAAAAGAGTTATTTGAACCTGCAATATGACCCTTATGAGGTAGTCAAACCATGATATTTCTAACTGCTACTTTTGTTTTCCCTACTTACAGGCAAGGAGCTTCAGAGAACAGCTGCTGGGTAAGTCCTATTGCCCTCTGCCCTATTGCCCTCTGGGTGTCAGCTCTCATTTCCTATAAACTCATAACAGAGTGGGCCCCCTCCATCATATGCAGTATTACTAGACATACCTGACAATCTTTTGAGAGAGAAAAGAAGATTAATATGATTTCTCAGCAATTTTCAGGCAGAAAGGAGCATGAGTAATCAGTTTACTTAGACAAAAACCTGTAATTCACTTCACCGAAGTCAGACACTATTTCTGAGTTAGATAATTTTAATGTAGTCAGCTATGACCTAAGGGCTATGTAGATCAAACTCTGAATAACTGCTCATCTTCAATTGATTAACACTATAAGAATAATATGGTACAGGTAACTAAAAATAAATAAGCAAACATGAACATGGGAGAAAGCACACAACCAAAAAATTTTCTTTTGTGAGTTTCTGGTCCCTACTATTATTCTAAGTGCAGGATTGTTCTCTTATAGGAACTTTTCCCTAACATATACATCAATAATGAAATAGTTGACTTCATTACCTTTTTTTCCACTGAGTTGTTTAGTTTTATGTATTAATGTATTTTATGCAACTGAAAAATGGTTTAGAAGCTTAATTTACATTTTTCCATAAAACAAGCTCAGTTTTCCTTGCTATACCACAGTCTGCCTTTGTGCCTCTAATTTTTCTCCCAAATGAGTACTTGTCCTTAGCTTTAAAATGTTCTCTGTTGAAGTAACCTGAAGTAACTTAGCTGACAGGGCAAAAAGAGAAGCCAGAAAAAGTCTAAGCATGTATATGTTACAAATAATACTAAAGGAGTTTAGCACAGTTCAAGAGTTTTACCAGACCACATCTCCATATAATCACAAAAAGTTATGTGAAAGTAGCACCGAGGAACTGTTTTAAACCCACAGAAGCAAAGACATTCAGAAATGAGGATGAAAAACCATCTTTAACCTACCCTAATGTGCTAAGCATTGTAGAATGTATGGTATATAAGCTAACCCATCATTAAATTCAACCTTCAAATAATAGGGAGGACTATGCATGAGTTTTCTTTAATTCAGTTACTTAGGTGGATTCAATAAGACCTCATGATATTGATAAAATTAAAAACAAACCATAATTAGCTGATTCTCAGTAAAACTAAGTTTACTTATGAGTCCAGTTTTCATATATTCGGGGACTGTTGACTTAAGTAATCAGTTTTCTATCACGTCTAACTACATATTTTGTATTGTTCTGTAGATCCATCTGTAAGATTCAGATTCTCCTTAAGACTTTGGCTGCTGTCTTCAAGCACTAACACCATGATCAAAAGCACTATAAATAGATCTTGGATACTTACTTAAATTCAGTAATTTAGGGTCAAAATCATTCCCTTCTGGGGAATCTCCCTTCACAGCAAACGATACTCTGAAAGTTCCATCTATTTCTAAAAAATCATCCAGTAAGGAATGTGGGCAGTGTTACTTTGCAATCCCACAACTGACCTATATTCCATGGACAGATCCTGCAAATCTGAGGGCTGGTAAAGAGCTGAAAAGGGTGGGATGCATCTTTTCATATTAAGCCATATGCTCAACTCTTTGCCTCTAATAGCATTTAAATGGGGGGTTGCCTTCAAAGAACTGAATCCATGAGATTTTTTTTTTGCTGACTCTCCCCAGCAAATTTGCAAGGTAATGATGATCCAACGTATCACAGTCATGCCACACTTAAGCACAACCCCTATTTAGTGAAATCCTACTAAATTGTAGATCCCAGTTAATATGAACGAATCTTGCTGATTTGAAGCATCTCCATAATAATCTATCAATATTGTATATGAACCTGGTTAATGGGATAAAGGGTCAAAGCCTGGGAACAAAGAAGAACTACAGCAAGGTTAAAAAGGATCTTCTCTCAAGAAAGGCAATAGTAGAATGAAACAAAAGACCTTAACAGACATGTCTGAAGGAGCTAAGTCAGCCTTGGTCATGAGCAGGGAATGTTAAGACTTTAGATAAGAAAGTTATGCATACAGATTCTTCGTCTTTTTAATTTTTTTCTCAAAAGTTTGTTTCACCTGCAAAATAAACAGTAATTTGTTTGTAAGAAGGCTGTTTTGTCGTTGTACATCAAACTGGCCAGAGACTCATAAAGGGAACATCTTTAGGTGGCAAAACTCAGTCTGACTTTCCAGGTAAGCATAGATGACCCACAGGGTATTATAGCCCCAGGTCTAGGAGAGGGAAAATTCTGAAAATGTAACCCCAAGGGAAAAAAAACAAGAGTCATAAGACTTGAGGGGGGTGTACTTGGATCTCTAAAGGAACTGAGGTGCAGCTAGCCTCGTGATCATGACAGGGGACTTCAAAGTTTAAAGAATGATGCTATTTAGCAGACAAATTTAACTGTGTGTTACAGCATTGGGGAACTTTCATTGTGATTTACATTACTTGAATTCTCCCGGTAGCAAACATATGAGAGGATAATTTAGTCCTATGTCATTGTTTCAAATACTACAAAACAGAAAAACTGTAAACTGTAAAACCGGATTATGAACTATCCATGAAAATTAATTTAAAACTGGTAATTTATTGGATGCAAAAAAACCAGAATCCCCCAAAAAGCCTTTAGCACTGAAACAAACAGCTGAGTTTATTGAAAACAAATCTGACTGTTCACGGAGAAGTTTCAGATCAAGATAAGTTTTTATATTCTACTATATATTTAAGAGAGTTTGTCTGTTCAAGAACTCCTCCTAAATGGTAAGAGCTAGGACCACTCAATTCAGTAAACAGCTTCTTCTTATCATAACTTAAACCAAGGTAAGGGTTTGCCTGTGCCAGAAAAATGAGATGCACCTAGAATGGGAAAGACTTCTCATAAAACCATAAAGAGAAAGAATCACCAGGCAGGTGAAAAGAATCATCACCCAAATCCAAGACAGCTGCAGCCGTGTGCCTCCCATCTTCCAGGTGATGTTTAGGGAGGGCAGTGGGGCTGAAGCTCCCTCCCCCTCCAGATTTGTATGGGGACATTATTGGTTGTTCCCTTTCATCAAGGAGAGAGGGGGAAGTGCACAATTTACTGCATTCCTCATTGTGACTGGGGAGCACAGGGGGCAGATGAGCTGTGAACTTTGCTCTTGCTCCCTGACAAGGACAGGAAGGGGGAAAGCAAGCAGCCCGGATACGAATCTCAGGGGGAAAGGGGCTTCAGCTTCCCTACCCTCGCCCCACACACACACACACACAGTCTCCTGCCCAGAGACCTTCCTTACACCCTCCCCCCAGTACTGATTCCTGCACACACCCCCACACATCCTCCTCACACACACACACTCCTAGACCCTTGCCCTGAGCCCTTCCTTAAGGACCTAAGCAATGCCAGGTAAATACGCTAGTTGTGTTATAAGTAACAGAAGAAAACTGGAGAAGTTGTGATTGTAAAATAATTATTGACATACTATTTTCCACTGTGGTAACTATATTTGAGCTGTAATGATCCTAAAACCAAGGCACACAGAGGAATTCTTGAAAAATGTTTAACTCATAATATTGACAAACACCAAACACCAATTAGGCATGGCAGAGAAGATGTAATAAAATATTAACTCATGGAATTGAAAGAGTGCTATATTAAGTTCAAATTATCTTTGCTTTATTAAATCACTCTTTTCATGAAGAAAACTAAATAAACACAGTATTAAAATATTATTCACAACTTTGCCCACCCCTGGTTTTGGTTATTTGACAGAATATTCAAAAAGTAATTAATAATAATACGAACTGCAGATTAGTACAGAAAGGCTCAGAGCAGCGATTAAGCCCTTTGATCTTATTGTACACTAAATACAGCTCACAGGAGAGAGGACAAGTTTCTTAAATTGTCAACTAATCTTTCCTGAATGCTCCTTATTCACTGTGGGTACGTCTACACTTGCTCCCTTGTTCGAGCTAGGGATGCAAATGTAGGCGACTGAAATTGCTAATGAAGTGGGGATTTAAATATCCCGCATTTCATTAGCCTGATCTCATTTTTTGACGGGTAACGTTAGTTTGAACCAAGGGGTTCGATATTTAAATCACCACTTAATTAGCAATTTTGGTTGCCTACACCAGCATTCCTAGCTCGAACTTGGGAACAAATGTAGACATACCCTGTTTGTGTTAATAGTTTTTTAAAATATCAGTAAAATACCTACCTCATTTTGACAGATCTGGTGGACCGATCTAGAATGAGCATCTGGTATCACTGCTGCACTGCAGCCTGCATTGAGGTCAAAAACTTCTAATGCTCGGTTGCTACCAGCTGTCAGTATAATATCTATAACCTCGGCAAGTTAAGTTCAAACATTACAAATAGATCTGATGGGGACAAGAGCAAAAAAATTACTTATGTTTTAATAACTTCTAGTTTATAAATAACTTGATACATAAATGTATATTAAATTTCTACATGCAGAATACCTATACCGATCAAAAACAGGTACATATACACACTTAAATTGAAACAAATTCCTTAACTATCTCAACAGTGAGATTTTATATAGCTAATAGGCTAAAGAATGTCAGCAGCATGCAAGAAAATTGATTTTTTGAATATTACACTTGGGTGGAATAGGATTATTTACTTGCCGCTTTGCCAAGCATAATATGGCCATCCCAAATTCATGTTAATATAATCTATTTAGATTCAAGTTTCAGGGGGTAGCCAAGTTAGTCTGTATAGGATAAACTTAAAAAATAACCAAAGATGTAGATGGCTTCATGAGCTTTCGTGGGCACAGCTCACTTCTTCCTGATACCATTTACATGTTTTGTTAGTCTATAAAGTGCTACCAGAACATTTGTTGTTTTATAATCTATATAATACATCACCATCTATGCATATGTAATAGGATAGCATTTTGTAATTACATATTTTAAAAATATCAAATTAATTCTCTCAGTAGCTCAGTGAGGTAGTGAAGTACTATTATCACCACTTTATATATAGGAAAGCTGAGGCAGAATGGTGAAGTAATTTAACTAAGGTAAGTGCCAGAAATCAGATTTGTAAGTATTCCTAAATCCACATAAATTAAGAGCAATTAACCAGTGAAATTATTTACTGAGGGTCATGGTGGATTCTCCTTCACTGGCAATATTCAAAGCAAGATTGGATGTTTTTCTAAAACATTTGCTCTAAGAATTATTTTGGAGAAGTTCTATGTTACACAGGATATCAGATTAGATTATCACAACAGTCCCTGATTGCCTTAGAATCTATAACGCTATTATGATACAATTCTTTCATAAAAACATACAAAATAAAAATCTGCTAGCTATAGAGTTCATGCCAGCTATTGAATTTGAATATTTTCATGTCATTGAGCCTAAAATTCTGTACAGTATCCAGGATACAAGAGTAGAAATCATTTATTGCTGAAAGGCTGGTAATCTCCACTGTAGAAGCCATGGGGAATTTCTGTACTGATTTGCAAATGCTCTTCTGTTTGTATCTGCAAAAGATAAGACATTAATGTTGCTATTTGGCAAAAAGTGCTATAATTTGTGGCCAAAAGTAAACTTATAATGAAAACATCCTGAAACCAAGATTCCCTTTTTATTACCAGACATACAGCCATAGTCATACAAAGGTTCATATCTGTTGACAGTTAAAAAAACAATTTAATTGGAAGACTCAGGGAAAAATGTATACACGTAATGCAGGCATGAGTACTTTTTGTTCTAATGTCTTGCAATATTTCATCAACTTAAAATCAAAAGAATTCAGCCTTCATCCAAAAGGCATTAGAGGAAATCTTCCCATTATAATGATTATAAAAGTAGAAATACACCATATATGGGACTGTATTTCACATGCTGTATATGAGATATGGAAAAAAGAGAGAAATGAATGAGGAAAAAACAAATCCTACCTTATTTGATCCCTGGCATGGGACTAGACAACAGTTTCTATACTACTGGATGAATGGAACTGCTGCCGAAACTGGACATCTTTGTCCTGGCTCGGGTTGTATTTGAATACATTGAGATCTCATCCAGTTTTCTTAAAAACCTTTCAGAATGTGTGATCTGAAATGTATTTAAGAAAACTGGTTGAGAATTCAATGTATCCACATACAAATTGGGCAAGAACAAAGATTTCCAGTTTTGGAATCAGGGACTTCATTTGCTCTGCCAAGGTTCAGGTGCTCACAGGTGAACTCAGTACTCCAAGAGACAGAGTGGGAAACACTGAATAAACAAATCTCATTAGCTAAATCTGGAGAAACAGACACAAATATTTTCCTTTCCAACATACATGCATGAACATTAGAGAAAGGATTTGTTCCAAATCCCACTGAAGTCAATAGGAGTCTTTCCATGAACTCCAATGGGAATTGGACCAGGCTCTAAGAGTACAGTTCTCTTTATTCACCTAATATTCCTAGAGCAGGGTAAGAAATCATTAAAAGGAAAGGAAAAATATTGGTTTCAGCATCACAAGTGAGCAGGGAAAATTAAATAAATCCAACTAGGAGAACCTTACTACCACTCTGCCCACTTTGTGTTGGATCAGTCACAGAAGTGTAAAGGACCCTGAAAAGCACTGGTTGAAATTAGGGGTAGAGTCTCCTATCAGAGGCACTGTGTAAGAATGCCAGAAGGCTGACTTCCAAGGACTTCACCATAAGCACACAACACTGCAGTCCATAAGGCAACATGGGATGCTATCTTAATTTAAACTGACCCCCAGGACTGTCTAAATTATGTCACCATGATCCTCCACAGCTTGCGAGCAGCTCAGGCTTAGGTTGATGCAAATATGTCTTGACTTAAAGCCACTTTACTGCCATCTTCCACTCCAGACTACACTAGAAACATTAGGGGCTGGTCTACATAGAAAGGTTAAAGTAAGGAGCTGACCTATCTTAAATCCCCAACCACATAGAGAGAGGCTGACAGGAGCAAATGCTCCCATCAGCTTCCCTTACTCCTTGCGAGGATACGAGGATTGGTGCTAACAGGGCACCCTTTGAGTTCGATGTAGTAGGTCTATACCACACCTGCTAAACTGAACTCCGGAAGATCGACCGCAGCAGCGTTGGTCTTCTGTGGAGTGTAGACATGCCCAAGTTGACCAATGTTAGGTTGACTTACAGCCACCGCAGTAATTACTGAGGAGGTGAACGTCCATACTACTTTCCTTGGGTTAGTGGTGTGTGTTTTCACCATGAGTGTTTCCACCAACCTAAATGGGGCAGTGTGAGGAACTGTAAGCCCAGTCTCATAGCTCTGCTGTCAGCTTCTTGACAGGAGTCTGGATGACCCACAGGCTCCCGGCAGGTTGTCCTCCCTCTACACTTCCCATTTCCTGCTGGGAGTGTGGTCCAATTGCCTAGGATTCTCATCTTGACTCCGAGCTGGGAGCAGGGTCCATTCTTGTCTAAGCTCCCACCTGAGAGTAGGGTCCAACCATCCAGATCTCCAGAGGACTGGGGAGCAGATAAGAAAGCCAGGCATGTAGAGCCTGTCAATTTCACAGCTCCCTGCCATGAAACTGACATGACAGCCAATAGCCAATATAAAGAATGCAGTGTCTATACAGACACTGTGTTGCCCTAACTACACCAACATAACTCTTACGCCTATTGTGATAGTGAACTTATTATGTTGGTGTAGTAGGGCTCTTATATCAGTCGGAGCAAGGCTTCAGTGTGGACACTGACATAGTTAGGTTGACATAAACTGTCTTACATAGACCTAACTATGTAGTATAGATTAGTGGCTCTCAACCTTTTGAGACTGCTGTATCCCTTTCAGTAGTCTGATTTGTCTAATATACCTCCAAGTGTCACCACACTTAAAAACTAATTGCTTACATAAGCAAACAAAAATACAAAAACGTGACACATCATGCTTACTGAAAAATTGCTGACTTTCTGATTTTTACCATATAATTATAAATCAATTGGAATACAAATATTGTATTCACATTTCAATGTATAATATATGCAGCAGTTTATTTCAGGTTTTAGTCCAAAATATAAAATTAATTACAGTACAAGCTTTGTTATCCAGTACTTTAATATCCAGAAATCTCTGTTATCGACCATCTGTCATAGATGGCAATTCCTCCTTCAGTTAACCAGAAAAATTCTGATAGCCATCCAGCATAATTTTTAGACATTAAAAGTTAGTAAAGTTTGTAGTAAAGCACTAAAGTTTGTTCATGTCATGCATGAGCAGTGAATAAGAAGAGAATCTCTGCAACAGATAGGCATTAAAAGGATTTAAAGACAAAGACGTGATTTGACTTAAACCTGATTATTGAAGTTGGGAGGGGGGAATGGCTTCACACAAAATGAAAACCCAATTAGGGGTTCAGACCACACACCATCATCATATATATTGCAACCTTTCAGGACAATGAATACATTTTACTATGTCCCATGGAAAATCATCTGAAAACAGCAATCCTATTATATGTTTCCAGATGATCTTTGAGTCTGGTAACAACAGCAGTAATCTAAAACGGAAAGGGGTGCAAACTGATTTCTTATTTCCAGCAAACCTTAGAATTTATCATAATTGCAAATTAATATTCTTCTAAACTGTGGAAGAGTCTGAGTGATACTTAGGGTATGTCTAGACTACAGGGTTTTGTCGACAGAAGTTTTGTCGACAGATTCTGTCGACAAAACTTCTGTCGACAAAACCCTGTAGTCTAGACATACCCTAAGTATCACTCAGACTCTTCCACAGTTTAGAAGAATATTAATTTGCAATTATGATAAATTCTAAGGTTTGCTGGAAATAAGAAATCAGTTTGCACCCCTTTCCGTTTTAGATTACTGCTGTTGTTACCAGACTCAAAGATCATCTGGAAACATATAATAGGATTGCTGTTTTCAGATGATTTTCCATGGGACATAGTAAAATGTATTCATTGTCCTGAAAGGTTGCAATATATATGATGATGGTGTGTGGTCTGAACCCCTAATTGGGTTTTCATTTTGTGTGAAGCCATTCCCCCCTCCCAACTTCAATAATCAGGTTTAAGTCAAATCACGTCTTTGTCTTTAAATCCTTTTAATGCCTATCTGTTGCAGAGATTCTCTTCTTATTCACTGCTCATGCATGACATGAACAAACTTTAGTGCTTTACTACAAACTTTACTAACTTTTAATGTCTAAAAATTATGCTGGATGGCTATCAGAATTTTTCTGGTTAACTGAAGGAGGAATTGCCATCTATGACAGATGGTCGATAACAGAGATTTCTGGATATTAAAGTACTGGATAACAAAGCTTGTACTGTAATTAATTTTATATTTTGGACTAAAACCTGAAATAAACTGCTGCATATATTATACATTGAAATGTGAATACAATATTTGTATTCCAATTGATTTATAATTATATGGTAAAAATCAGAAAGTCAGCAATTTTTCAGTAAGCATGATGTGTCACGTTTTTGTATTTTTGTTTGCTTATGTAAGCAATTAGTTTTTAAGTGTGGTGACACTTGGAGGTATATTAGACAAATCAGACTACTGAAAGGGATACAGCAGTCTCAAAAGGTTGAGAGCCACTAATCTATACTACATAGTTAGGTCTATGTAAGACAGTTTATGTCAACCTAACTATGTCAGTGTCCACACTGAAGCCTTGCTCCGACTGATATAAGAGCCCTACTACACCAACATAATAAGTTCACTATCACAATAGGCGTAAGAGTTATGTTGGTGTAGTTAGGGCAACACAGTGTCTGTATAGACACTGCATTCTTTACATTGGCTATTGGCTGTCATGTCAGTTTCATGGCAGGGAGCTGTGAAATTGACAGGCTCTACATGCCTGGCTTTCTTATCTGCTCCCCAGTCCTCTGGAGATCTGGATGGTTGGACCCTACTCTCAGGTGGGAGCTTAGACAAGAATGGACCCTGCTCCCAGCTCGGAGTCAAGATGAGAATCCTAGGCAATTGGACTGTGTGGGGTGTGTGGGTGGGGTGCTCAGGCCGGGCACGTGATGCTCGGATCTTCCGCAATTCACACCTGTACGAAAGGCTGCAGACAGGAACCTTCTTCCCCCAGCGAACCTCTGCTATCGGGGACGTAGAGATGCCGGTCTGCATTGTGGCCGATGCGGCGTACCCCCTCATGCCCTGGCTTATGAAGCCATACACAGGGCATCTGACCCCGAGCAAGGAAGTGTTTAATGCCACTGCCCCATTTAGGTTGGTGGAAACACTCATGGTGAAAACACACACCACTAACCCAAGGAAAGTAGTATGGACGTTCACCTCCTCAGTAATTACTGCGGTGGCTGTAAGTCAACCTAACATTGGTCAACTTGGGCATGTCTACACTCCACAGAAGACCAACGCTGCTGCGGTCGATCTTCCGGAGTTCAGTTTAGCAGGTGTGGTATAGACCTACTACATCGAACTCAAAGGGTGCCCTGTTAGCACCAATCCTCGTATCCTCGCAAGGAGTAAGGGAAGCTGATGGG